GGGGGGGGGGGGGGGATGAAATCTGCAGCCATCCATAGTAAGTAAAACTTGTGACAGATAGCAGTGTTGTCCATGTTCACAAAGCACAACCAGTTTCACAGCAGGAGAATACGCACATTCACGCCTTCCTGAACATGGTTCCTTTATCTGAAAAGCAGGAAATTCGGGAGCAGCTACACAACAGCCCAGACTTACTTATAATCTGCTAAAGGGGCAGATGGATAACTGATGGCTTACAAACACAAGACTACCCCCTAAAATGTATACCAGCGCAGGGGGTTCTTCACAGTTAGAGCGGTTAGGGTCTGGAACTCGCTGCCGCAGGAAGTGATTTCAGCGAAGAGTGTGGAATCATTCAAGAAACTCTTGGACGAGTTCCTTGGAGACCGTAACATACGGGGGTACAGGTACTCCTAAGAGCAAAATCACACATGGACTAATACACACGCACACACCTGATCAAACATAAATGCATACACGCAATAGGTTGGACTTGATGGACCTATGTCTTTATTCAACCTCAAATACTATGTAACTATGTAAAAAGCATCCGGGGGTCTGAGCTGTCTACCTGCTGGGGGAAGTTACCTGAATGGCCTGACTGTAGCAGATAAGGGAACGGACAGCCCCCCATGTGTACTGAGCCAAGTCTGCGCCATCATTCAGGATGCCTCTTCCAGGGGTCACTTCTATTACAGCCAATATGAATACAAGTTTAGGATCGGGGGAAAAAAAAAAAAGAAATGAAATCATTCAAATCGTAAACACAAGTGACATAATGATTGAAAAGGTTTCATGTAGAATCCATCCAGCATGTTCACAAACCTGTTATGCTGCTTACGCGGGATCTACTTTGGTTTAAAGTGGAATGCCGCGATTCCATCCAGGGGGGTGGGGGGGCTATGTCCCGGGGCAACCCCACAACACCCCCCCCTGACCCCCATAAAAGACCCCATTAGCAATCACAAGTTGAGGAAGGGAAGAACTTAATTAAAGAATTGTTCACTTTGCAAGGGAATGTGCACATTGCAGGGGACGTTTCCCTCAGGCTAGGATCACACCTAGGCGATTTATCGCAATCGCACAAAACAGAGATTTGCATTCAAGTCTATGGAAGCTGTTCGCACCTTTGCGATTTCTCGCATGGTGGAAAATTGACTGTCGCGCAAAAAGGTGCAGGAGCTATTTTCGGGAGGTTGTCGCGCAATTTGGGTCCCATAGAAATCTCTATGCATTGAAAACCCAGGCGGTTTTCAAAGCAAAAAATGTGCAAAAACAGCTCACAAGCTCAATCGCCTGGGTGTGATCCTAGCCTGAGCTTGATGAATGTGGCGATATTCCACTGATTGCACTGCACAGAACACCCAATCATGTGCACAGAAACAAAAGCACACAAAGTATTTTTGCTTGCAGTGATTGGATGATGAAGTCAGCAGAACTTCCCCTCATTCACTAAGCTAAGGGAAAACTTCCCCTGCCAAGGACAAATTCCCCTGCAAAGTGAACAGTCTGTTTGCCTTTTAGTAAATTAACCCCACGACTCCTACATTCCTTATTACAAGAGGGAGAGACAGGAAGAAGACGACGTACAGTCCCCTCCAAAATGTCAGTGGCAAACGAAGCTTGAAGTAGTGCAATCTATAATTAGGACGACCCCACAAATCGCACTGCGAAGCCGCTCCTCGCCCTCCTCACCACAAATAACCAGGAAGTCATTATGTAGCCGATGCGGCGTCTCTGGATTGATGAGAAGTCCTGCTATTCACAAACGTACAACTGGGATGAGGTCTGGGGAAGCGTCTCGCCTGTGGGACACCGCTGTGATATAGTCATAACAACAAAGAATTTTGGAAGGGGATGGGGGGTCATTGCTAAATGGGACACAGGACCCCTTCCTAATTGATCAAAGTGTCTCTAGTGTAAATATAAGCCCCCCCACAACAAATAGCAAAGGCCTGGTTCACACCTGGGTGTTTTGTAGCGCGTTCGAACGCTCTGCAAAACGCTCAAACACCGAAATCCCATTATTTCCTATGGGTATGGTTCACACCTGGGCGTATTACAGGCCGTATGAACGCGCTACAAAACGTCCTACGCCCAAAGAAGTACAGGAGCTTCTTTGGGGCGTTTTTGGCGCGCGTTTCTATTTGGATACAGCCAAGTAGCCCTCGTAAACGGGGTGGGGAGCACCTCTAAGCTGGATGTATGGAGAGTAGGTGACCCTGATGTCCATAGTGGGGGACCCCTCTAAGCTGGATGTATGGAGAGGTGGTGACCCTGATGTGTATAATGGAGATCTGTTCTAGGCTATAAGTGATAGACTTCTAAAGTGGGGGGTCCCTCTAAGGTGTGTGTGTGTCCTCTCAATTCTCCCCCCTTTTAAGCGTCTTCCTAATTTACATGTTTAAGGGAAGGGAATACGGAACCCCCACCCTAAGATTACAACCAGTGATGGTTAATGAGGGGGTCACTCACTATAGACATCAGGGTCACATCCTCTCCATACAGCCAGCGTAGAGGGGCACCCCACTATAGACATCAGGGTCACCTCCTCTCCATACATCCAGCGAAGAGGGGCACCCCACTATAGACATCAGGGTCACCTCCTCTCCATACAGCCAGCGTAGAGGGGCACCCCACTATAGACATCAGGGTCACATCCTCTCCATACAGCCAGCGTAGAGGGGCACCTCACTATAGACATCAGGGTCACATCCTCTCTATACAGCCAGCGTAGAGGGGCACCCCACTATAGACATCAGGGTCACATCCTCTCCATACAGCCAGTGTAGAGGGGCACCCCACTATAGACATCAGGGTCACATCCTCTCCATACAGCCAGCGTAGAGGGGCACCCCACTATAGACAGCTGGGTCACTTCCTCTTCATACATCCAGCTTTGAGGGGCACCCCACTATAGACATCTTCTGGGTCACTTCCTCTTCATACATCCAGCTTTGAGGCGGGCTCCCAATATAAGAACTACAGTACTGGTCCCTGTAGACGATGTTAGGACTAGAGCAGCCATGTTAAGCACATAGGTGAACTCCCCCCCCCCTACTGAGAAGTTCCTATAACACACCCTCCCTGTCTCCTCCATAGGTCAGGACTGGGAAGAAGTTTGTAAGTCGGGGGCTCCTTACGCGGGGAAAAGAAGACGTGGTCATGTGACAGCCCAGGTGTGTCTCCGGCTCCCAGGCCCGGTTCTCCACTCACCCATGCTGCTGCCCCGGTGCAGGCAGTCCCTCTCCGGCCTCTCACAATCCCGGCGGCTCCCTCAGCCCATCCACTCCGCTCAGCGGTCCCGGCCACTCCTGCGTCCCGTGTCCTCCTTCCGAAACACAGCGCTGAATGACCCGCCGCCAGCAGCACAACGCGCAGCTTCCACGAAGCCTACAACGCCAGCTCGTAGCTCTCGGACATCACGTGTCCCGCTCTAACCAATCAGCGAGCTCTTCCCCTGTCCCAGCTCCAATGCTTTTTTTCTTTTTCCCCTGAGAGGGAGACTCCAGTCAGCCGCTGTTACCAGGTGTAGTGACGTCAGAGCGGCGACACAGGGAGACTCGTCCAGCCGGCCGCTGTGCGTGCTGTGACGTCGGAGCTGTCACTTACACACTATCATGCTGGGGCTGAGCCCTGCACGGTGCATCTGACATTCTGGGACAGTGACATGATTTATTTTGACATTTCTCTTTGTTTTTTGATAAAGTAAAAAAAAAAAAAAAGTGCTGAAGTTTAATCTGATATTTTACATTCCTGGTTCCTCCCTCCCTTCTAATCAATGTGCTAATGACATTAATATATACAATCTGTTTTAATTAAATGCTTCTTTTTTAGAGCCATGATGCAATCACTGCCTCTCTGCACTTATCTATACACTGGGGCACACCATGGCGGGTGGGAGGGGCTGGCAGGCTGTTGTACAAATCTTCCGGAAATCACAGCACCCTGCCTCAGTACTCTCTCAAGAGCCTTTAGCCATGATACAGGCAGTGATCTGGCTCTTGTGAGGGTTTATGCACAGGGCCATCCCTATAATGAGGCAGTTGTCTCAGGTGTTATCTCTGGCTCCTGTGGAGGGGCAGAAGGTGTGCCTGCTGCCAGGGGCGTCCCAAGGCCGGGTTTCACCCGGTCTAGAGACCGGGGGACACCCCGCCATGTCGTCATCACGCGTGTTGTCACCGTATGCATGCACGATGCGCAACCATCTGATTGATCTTTGCGATGGACGCTAGCAGAGAGAGGAGGGGACGCTCACCCGGCGCTCACCTGCCGGGTCCCCTCTTCTCTCCTAAATCAAGAAGTTCTTGCTGCACTCCTTACCGGAGTAAAAGGAAGGCCCGTGTGGACGGGTGGGTGCTTGTAGTGGCCACGGATGGCGCTGTGAAGAAATACGATAAAAATTGAGCAATTGAATGGCAATGTGCCAATACATTGACTATTGCTTCATTAACCCTTGGAGTGCTGGTGACATTATTTTTACCCTATTCTCTCCTGACACTGTCAGGCGCTCGGTCCATGACCGAGTGCCCGCCTTTTTAGAGGGGCGGGGGTGAAACCTAAATGACTGTCAGTCATGTTGGTGTCACCCCTGCAATGGTGACACCCAGGTGCGGGCCGCACCCCCCTTGTGACGCCACTGCCTGCTGCCCCCTTTATAACCAGGATCCACCAGGCCCCTGGCATCCACTGGCATCAGTGACCTTGGTGGGACGCTGTGCACAAGAACTGCCCCATCCCTGCTGGAACCCCGCCACCATGAGCCCTTGGCGCCCACACCCATCTACCGGAAAGTGCACCAAGAGTAACCAATACCCCACTTACACCGAAACGTGCATCACAAGCCCCACCCCCCCCCCCGAACCGCTGCCCGC